GATATTCAGTCCATCAAAATAGAAGTGAAAGAGGGTTCTAGGCTAAATTTTTTTGATCTTCTTGTTTGGTTTTTCTTTAAATCAGGGAATTGGTTGTGAGTATCGACATAGTGAAATTGCCAGGCTCAATCCGAGAGACTGCTGGTACTAGTTTACTGGGAATTATATTGATAAGACCTGTAGTTTTTGACATCCTGTGAGCTCGTATTCTTTTTAATAAGTTCATGTTGATTATGGGATTGATATATCGTGAACGAATTGGATTTTTTTACATGTTTTGGAAATTTTACAGTTGAATCTGTATTGAATTATAGCTTTAGAAGACAATTATGCATGCACGCAACTTGAAAGACATCATGGCAGGGTATTATATTTGGAGCAACTCCTTGATATGTTGCCTAATCATTGCACATTTGCACCTTTATTTCTGGCATATATATGTTTGTTGCAGTGTAACATCCTCAATACCGGGTTAGTGACTAAATTGTAAAGTTCCAGAATTTGGTGATTAAAGTAGAGAAGTTAAATAGTTTAATGGTTTATTTGAAAATATTTCCTGAAGGGTTGTTAGTAATTATTAAAGGAATTAAAGGGTAAAATGGTTATTTGACATAAAAGATATTTTTCTCCCCTTTAATAGAAGATAAACACGTAGGGGGAGAGTGAGATGGAAAACTCACTTCTTCTTCATCTTCTTTCTTCTTCTCCAACGTGAAGCACCCCAAGCAAAGGTAAGTTTTCTGATTAGTTGATTATTTTTTGATTTTAAGTATGAGTTTTGATCCTTAAGTGATACTTAAGCTTAAGGAAAGCTTAAGTTGTCTTAAAATCAAAAGATGAAGAAGTTATGAGAGACTAAAGAGAATGAGGTTTTAAGTGAATTTATGGAAAAGAGTTGATAAGTTAAATTTGAAGCTAAATTTGACTTGTCATCAACTCAATTAAGAGATATGAAGTGATAGAATTGAATTTAGAGTATCTTGAAAATTTGGTATGATTATTGATTTCCACATGAAAGATAGAATTTTGAGGTTAAAGATGTATTGAACGAGTAGAAATTAGTTTAAGTATATGTACTTGAGTTAAAAATAGAAAAGGGAATGAAACATGAAGAATTTAAGCTGAAAAAGATGAATTTTCGGGGTGAAAAAACATGTTTTGGGCAGAGTGTATCGGTATCCTATGTATGTGTACCGATACCCTCTTGAACAAAAAATTTCAGAATGTAATAAGGGTATCGATACCTTAGGGAGGGTATCGATACCCCCTAAAGGAAAAAGTGAATTGGGTTTATTAAATTCGTTTAAGTTATTAGCATCAAATTACAAGGTGTAGATCTGATAATTACCTTTAAAGTGTATGATTTTGTAGATATAGAGCACAAGCAAGTTCTGAAACGGCTGCAAAGTTAGGATCAATCTAAAGAGATAAATCATAGAAGAGGATTTGGATATATAAAGCGTCAAGGTGAGTGCATACTAGTTATAAATGATGTGTATGGTAATAAGACTTGTAATGAGTCTGATTTCAATATTTGATTGCATAAATATATGAATGTTAGTATATGTGATTGATATGACTATTATGTATGCATGAACAAATAGATAGATTCATAGAGGTTATATGTTATTTGGTGTGATATGGATATATAAATAGTTATATGATAACAATGTATAAATTATATGAATTAAGTCTAAGTGATTAAGTGAAAAAGGAAAAATAGAATATAAGTTAAGAGATATTGACATAAATTAGTATACAAATGTGTCAAATAAGCTATATAGGAAAGTTGGTATGTTTAAGTGGATTATGACCTAAACTTGTTAAATGTTATGTGATTATAAGACTTTACCAGCATATTTATATGATATACTGGATAAGAAACTAGGAGTTATATGTTATATGAGATGAACATAAGAGGTTATGTGAAATGAACTAGGTGACTATATGAACATATGAAAATATGAATAAGAGCAATGTGATATGAGAGATATGATAATGAAATATGAAATTATAATACAAGCTATGTGTATTGATATAAATGATTATGTAAAATTGTGAGATAAGCTATATGACATTGATATACGGATTATATGAAAGTATGTATATGAATATATGTATAAGTTATGTGTTATTCTATGTGTATATATGAAACTGTGATATAAGTTATGTGATGAGGAGTTATATGTTATAAGATTTATGTGAAGATATGAGAACAAGATATCAGCTATGTGATATGATCTATGTGACCATATGAGAATATGATATGATCTACATGAATATACAATATGTGATATATGTTATATAAAATGACATATATGTTTACACATACATGTGGTATGTGATAGGAGAAAAGATATATGTGATCACAAGAGAAATGACATGAGTACATGAACATATGAAACATAAGAATAATGCCCATGATATATGATACGAGAGCTATAGGTATAGTTGGCATGCCAAGAGTCAAGGGTCTACGCGGTCATTCGGGACAAATACAAAGGCCATTCGGGACAAATACATAGGTCATTCGAGAGAAATTTCACATGCCCCTAGTGGGACCCCATACGAGCTGTGGTGACAGCATAAGTGCACAACCTCAATGTACTCGAATACCTTAAGTTCTCAGTAATGTACATGGGCTTACAAAAGGTATAAAAAGTGTTTGCATTATTATATGTTAGCATGTTATTATTATTTACGTGGAATCATATATGACATGATTGAATAAGTAGATGATATGTTCATATTTATAGGAAATGCATTATTATTATGTTTTATATGCCTCACTAAGTCAACGACTTAGCGCGTGATTGTTTCACACGTAGGTTTAGAGGAAGATTGATAAAAGTTATGCAAGACAGGTTAGTTTCTCATTTCCAAAGATCATATCAGAAAATAAATAAATAGTCTGTATTTTGTAATACTAATTATGGTTGGCATGTAAATAAAGGTTTGAATCCGATATGTTCTAATCGATTTCGTAAAACATATGATTGAGTTTTGTAATGTTTTAAACGTATTTATGTAAATGGTATTGGTATAGTGATGAAAGTTTAAATTTTATGAGTTTTATACATGTTTTGCCGAAATTACTGTAGCAGAGTATCGATACACTGTAGCAAGGTATCGATACCCCTATAGTATTCTGGAAAATTTTAGCATTCGATACTGTTCACGGTATTGTTCATACCGTATAAAACTATTCATAAAAATGTTTATTTCCTTAAATTTGTTATAACAAACATAATTTAACAGTATATGATCGTATTTTCTCAATATAAGTCCAAATGTTCTGTTATTTTGTAAGGATATTGTTTTAAAAAGTCAATGTGACATCTCGAAGTCGTATCCGGGTCGGGTACGGGTTGGGGTGTTACATGCAGTGTCCTCTATGTTTTACAATTTCTTTTATTACTGGCATGCCATGAATTTATAAGAATTATGGGGTCCTATGATTTTAGTTCCGCTATCTTTTTTAGATTCTCATCATGTTTAGCTATTGAGGAACATTAAACATGGAGCATTAGAAGCAATTATATGTTAAAAGGGTAGGCCATTAATGCATTTGCAACTGGCAATGTTGTATTTGTCATCTAATGTCTATATTAAACAACCCATTTGACGCCTTAGCTTTTGGACTGACTATGACCGAACCTCTTTCCCTTTATTTATTAAGTTCTCCTTTTGAATGAGTTATTAATTGATATTCTTGGTTTATTTTAGTTATTGTTTGGTTGTATGTTGTAGTCCTATGAACTAAAACTCTTTACTATTTTCACACCATTGGATGTGCATGCTCAAGTTCCATCCAAACCTATTGGATTGTTATACCAAAGTGCGACAACTATGAACAAGACAAATTGACCTTGTTACTTTTACTTCAACGATTTATGCAATAAACGTGATAGGTGCACTTTTCATATTCAAAGTGCAGCAGTCGTTGGATGTGCATGCAACAAACCTCAAATTTATATTAAAGTAAACACCGTAAAATAGCAAATTCATGTTCAAAATTCTAAAACATTTCAACTACATTTTAAACCCCAAATTCTAGAATACTTCAATTACATTCTAAACCTTAAATTAAAGTATTTTAGAATTTAGGGTTTAAAATGTAATTAAATTATTTTGAAATTTAGGGTTTAGAATGAAATTGAGGAATGTGTTGCAAGTTTTAAAAGTTGGGGGACCTAAATGCAAGCACCTAAAAAGTTCAGTGACCATATTACAAACAGACTAAATGTTGGAGGACTACCATGTCATCTTCTTCTAACGGTAGTTTATGTCGGGGACCATATTACAAATAGACTAAATGTTGAAGAACTGTATTGCAAGTTTTAAAAGTTAAAAGACCTAATTGCAAGCTTCAAAAAAGTTTAGTGACCATTACTATACTTTTCCCATAATTTTAATCCCGTTTTAGCCGGGCACTTGAAAGTTCAGGATCTTGCGTCTGCGGTTTGACTTTGATTTATCTGATGGTGTTTTGTTTGTAGTAAAACCAAGTTGGCTCCTTTTTCCAGTTTTAAAATTGACGTTTACTCTCTCGGATGCTTTGATAAAAGCATGGTACCGACCGCACTCTATCACTGAAAAAATAAGAAGATCCATTGCCACATCATTGATAACGTCACCTTCTACAATCTACAGAAGTAATTTAATTTTCCTTTGACGTGAACACGGAAATAAAACAAGTCTATGTTCAAAATAAGACGTAGTAAACAGGATTCCGTTCACACTTCGCCATTAATACTAAAATATTTTTTAAAAAATGTAATTTAAAACCATAATTTAATACACAGTTCTTTCTAATCATATTTATGGAATCATTTCTCATAGCCAGCAATAAAATTGGAAAATTAGAAATCAAATTAAGGACCCGTAGTCGTGCATGGACGACAGTTGTTGATGCCACGTGGCTGAATCAGGTTTACATCTTGGGATCAACCAATAGAAAGGTCGCCTATCCCGTCCCTATAAATTTGTGTGACCAACCCATGTTTTCAAAACCTACTTTACAATAATCTGTTTAATTACCTACGAGATAAGAACAAAAGAAAGGGGAGAGAGTAAAGCTAAGCTTTGATCATTTATGGCGGAGAAGAGTTTCAAGTACGTGATCGTCGGCGGTGGTGTAGCTGCTGTATGTTCCTCCCTCACTTTTCGCTCTTCCATTCCATTTTTTGTTTTAAATTTTTCCTACTTGTTGTTATTTATCAAATATCATTGTCCTATTATTTTATATAGGGTTATAGATCCAGTTTCGCCGTATTTGCTGCTAAAATGAGTAGCGAAAAAAAATGAAAACGATTGAAAAGCAAATCTGAAGCTTAGATCGGTTCCTATTCATTTAATCACTGAATTTGTTGTTGTTTGGAGAATGGATTTACACTAAGGAGTTAAACATGCTTCCGACTTTTTGCTTAATGTTTCAATCGTTGTGTGTCGCGTGAGTTTCAGAATGATGGTTTGATTTTATTTTGCATTAATTAGAACCCATTGATGTGAAAAATAAAGCTTCTTTCTGTTTATGTAGCATTCACCCAGTTAGTAGGCTTGTTTAGAATTTAGTTTTGACTTTTGACTGGTTGGTTTTATTTTTATTTCTTTCTCCTAAATTTTTTCTCTTTTGACTTTATAGGGATATGCGGCGAGAGAGTTTGCCAAGCAGGGAGTGCAGCCTGGTGAGCTAGCAATTATTTCAAAGGAGGCGGTATGAATTTTTACTAATTGGAACTTTATGAAATATAAACTAATTACATGGGTGATTGGGATTTATCTCACCCCCTGATTGAACTCTTTTTCATTTTAATTTTTTTTTATTTTACAACCCTTTTTTGTATCACCATTTGAAGAAAGCAAGGTATAAAAGGAAGCTCGTGGGAAAAGATTATACAGAAAACTATTAAATTTGTATGATAAACAATACCAAGATAAATTTTAGTAGGTTTATCATTTTGCTTTGTCAAAGAGTTTAATTTTTTATTACCATGTCATTTATATTTAAAGGGTAAAAATCATTTCAAGTTACTGAAGAAATGTTTACTCATTTCAGTATCATATTTGCTCCTGCAGAAATGCTAGGCCAAATTTCTTATATTTAATAAGCATTTTAATCATTGCACGAGAATTGAATTTGTTGTTCTATTAGGCTTGAGTGTGCATTTTGACATTTTAGATCATTATATGCATCATTTTGTTCGTATCACTGTCAATTTTTTTTTGTTATTAATCCTTCTTAGAAAATGCAATAGTCTATTGCATAATTTCGTCACAGTTAAATTTTACTGTAATAAAGGCCTGTACAGGTGGCATTTACATTACATCACGCATCATAACTTGTTATCGTTGTCATTTATTGATTCCCTGAATTGGTAAATTTGTATTACATATTTACTGATTTTTGTTTTCTTATACATGTAGGTGGCTCCATATGAACGTCCTGCCCTAAGTAAGGGATATCTCTTCCCTGAGGGTAAGCCACAATCCTAAAACGTTTTTAATGTACTTATTTGCAAAGTTCAAAAAACTATAAAATGTCATGTATATTGGTGACTATGCTTTTAGTTGCAGCAACTATTTTTCGTGACATCTCATTGTGGCTTGTTTCCTGGATCAATTTGGTGATTTGCTCTTTACAGGAGCTGCAAGACTTCCTGGTTTCCATGTCTGTGTTGGAAGTGGTGGAGAGAGATTGCTTCCTGAGTGGTATAAGGAAAAAGGTTAGCAACATGTCTGTTTGGATTTGTTCAACATTGAAATTCAGAATAGATTGATGAAATAATAGATAATAGATGTGCTAAAATGGATTTTAACAAATTTTCATTGTTTATTCAATGACCTTATACTCATTAATGCACTTCTGATGTCCACATGCTTGCAGGTATTGAATTGATCCTTAGCACAGAAATAGTGAAGGCAGATCTTCCTGCCAATACTCTAGTAAGTGCAGCTGGAGAAAAATTCAAGTATCAAATTTTGATTGTCGCAACTGGTTCCACGGTAACAATTTCTAAGGATCTCAACTGAAACATTCACGACGTTGCCTACCATGCATGGTTTAACACATCATACCTGCAGGTTATTAAGTTGTCGGATTTTGGAGTGCAAGGAGCTGATGCCGAAAACATCTTTTACTTGAGAGAAGTTGATGATGCCGATAAGTTGGTAGAAGTAATCAAAGCAAAGAAGAATGGCAAGGCTGTTATCGTTGGAGGAGGCTATATTGGTCTTGAGCTTGGTGCAGCCTTGAGAATTAACAATCTTGATGTCAGCATGGTGTACCCTGAACCATGGTGCAGTAAGTAGATCTCAACCATAGAAATGGACTTTTGTACCAGGAATAAATGAACTAAATTGATTTGTGGTGGATTCTTGTTATTCTAACTTGAAGATTGTTGTTGTAGTGCCCCGGCTTTTCACCTCTGGCATAGCTGCTTTCTATGAGGGTTATTATGCTGATAAAGGGATCAAAATTATAAAGGGAACAGTTGCAGTTGGATTCACCTCTGACTCAAATGGAGAGGTTAGTGGTCAGAATGCAGTATTCATTTATGGGATGAAATCATTTTAATGCTCTGATACTTTTACCCTCCGTTCAGGTAAAGGAAGTTCAACTTAAGGATGGCAGAGTTCTGGAAGCCGACATTGTTGTTGTTGGTGTTGGTGGAAGGCCCCTTACAACATTATTCAAAGGGCAGGTTGAAGAAGAGAAGGGTGGAATAAAGGTTGGTTTAATCTATAACATAATCTAAACTGCAGTTTCATATATAGACTCCTATTAAGATTGACATAAGATCATACAACACAATTTGTTTGATTGCAGACTGATGCATTTTTTAAAACAAGTGTTCCCAATGTATATGCTGTGGGTGATGTAGCCACTTTCCCCTTGAAGTTATACAATGAATTGAGAAGGGTTGAACACGTGGACCATGCCCGGAAATCTGCCGAACAGGCCGTAAAGGTGTGTCAGCTGAATTAGTTATCTTTATAGTCGGATATCATCTAAATTTCACTTTCCTGCAGACAAATAACTGTTGAGCCATACGTAAAATTTTTGCAGGCCATCAAGGGAATTGAGAAGGGGCAAACAGTTGAAGAATATGACTATTTGCCATACTTCTATTCTCGGTCCTTTGATCTAGCATGGCAGTTCTATGGTGACAATGTCGGGGATACAGTGCTTTTCGGAGACAACAACCCGCAATCACCGAAACCAAAGTTCGGATCATACTGGATCAAAGATGGGAAGGTGGTTGGAGCTTTCCTAGAAGGTGGCACCGCCGAAGAAAACCAGGCAATTGCTAAAGTTGCTAAGCTTCAGCCTAAAGTAGAGGATTTGGATGCGCTGACCAAAGAAGGTCTTACCTTTGCCTGTAAGATTTGAAGACTCACCTGCAAAGGAAAGGGTTCATTGTTGCATACTTGTTGCTAGAGCACTGCGTACATTCAGGGTTGGATCACTTTTTTTTATATATATATATATATTTATATAATATGGTTGTGCTGTTATTACTCCTTGCACAGAGTAAAAATTCTGGGGTTTGCTTTGTTCATCTTGGTTTTCTTTTGAGTGATCAATAATACTTTCGATTAAGCAGTACGGAAAATAAACACCTTATATCTTCTATGATTTCGATGTTAACCAATTATTCCAAAAACCTAACCCTTACTAATTATCGTTCCACCTAACTCGCATCCTCTTCCCAAACCCATATCGGATTAAACTTGCTCGAATTAGACCCATCCACCAAAACCCAATCTTCTTCCCCACCGTCAAAACTCCCTCTCCCTTTCTAACACAACCACTATTGCCCCTACCATCTATAAAAATATGAAATCCAACCTTATCTCCTTCCAACACCTTTCTATTTGGACTGTAGACACCAAAAATGAAAAAGAGACTCCCAAAACCTTCTTACAAATAAACTTCTATATTTTGAGACCCTTTAAGTCAGAAAAAACTTAGTTTGAGCACAATTTTTTCGGCATAATGTCAAAGAATGCCCTAACAAATGATTAAAAGTCGTTCTGTTTTTTCAAGTATTTTAATTTCAACATTTAATTTAGGTAAAAAATTCTATGATGTTTTCTAATACCTCAAATTTTGTCTAGTGACTAAAGTATAAGTTTTGAAAGTTTATTGGCTAAAGTATAAACTTTGAAAAGGTTAGGGACTGAAATGGTAATTTTAAAGGTTATATATTTTAGCCTGTAAATGAACAATTTGAATTAAAACTGATATTTTTAGTGGGAATCAGATTTTGGTATGTGAATTGTGTTAAAAGCTATAAAGCAGTAAAGTTCGGTATTGAAATCGAATATTCAGATCGAATTGGAATTTTACGAAAATTTGAAGGATGATATAAAATGGTTGGAAATATTTTTTTAATATTTTATATCAGAGATTTTCAGAAATGTGTAATTTTTCAGATTTGATGGAAACAGTGGAATTTAGTGACTAAAATGCAATTTTTGAAAATTGCATGGAAAATTTCTTAAGTAAAAGTCAAGTTGGTTCATCTTTGACTGTGGAAGATGATAAGATTTATGATGCTTGGTATTAATGTAAATATCAAGTTCATTAAGGGTAAATTAGTAAAGATATTTTAATTTTAAGGGTAAATTAGTAATTTAACATTTAATGAATTTTTAATTCATTAAATTATGAAGAAAGATGAAGAATTATTGAGGATATTTCTTCATCTTCATCATAATGGTCCTGGGTTCCTCCCAAAGGTAAGAAAACATTTTGTTTTCCATTTTTGAGCAATTTTCTTAGGATTTTGAGTTATGTCGTAAAATAGAAAATTGTTCTACGCGAAAAATGCTATCATTTGGTACCAATATTGCATGATAATCTTGATGGTGTTCAAAGATCCCAAATTCTATGGTTTGTGTTCATATAAGGGATCATGAAATTGATGATGAATCTTGATGGTTTTGAGGTTGTAGATTTATATTCAACCTTGTATGATGATTAGAACATGTTCAATCTTCCTAGAAAACTTTCTTTAAGATTCAGCCAAATTATAACTTGGGAAAACTTTTTGTTTTGATGAAATATGATTAGGTATTTGATTTTAGAGATGATTTAAGGTTTGATGGAAGTTGATTTCATGCTTGAATCGAATCGAGCAAAATAATGAAAAAATTAGATTTGGAATTTTGAACCATTCGGCCTTGGTCTTAATGGATAAGGAAAATTCTGAAAAAATTATATAAGGGTTGGAAATGATGTAGGAAGTATGTTACAAGCCTTAGAAAAATTTTAGGACCATTTTGTAATTTTTTAAAGGTTGAGGGACCAATTAACCAAATTTTAGAAAATTGATGGGTTGTTGTGTAAGTGTTATATAATTGATGTACTATGATGGAAATTGATGTTTGGGAATTGAAATGAGTGTTAGAATGTGAAATTTGATCATTTTGGAAGTTTAGAAAGTTTGGTGATTTTAATGGAAATTTCGAATTGTTTGGGAGTATTTATAGTAATATCTTTGTATGTGTACTTGGTTGATAATACTTTCAATACTGGAATTTTTGTATTGAAAGTTTAAGTGATAAAATGGTAAAGGACCATTTTATATAAGTTGGAAAAGTTGGTGTCAAAATTAAAAAGAATTAAAAAGTGTTAAAGTACTTGGTGGTGAATAGGTTTCAAGTATGATTATGGAATTTATTTTGGAAATGTATTTATGTTAGTACAATACTAACATATGTATCGATATGAATTTATGATTTTGTACATATCGTGATTGATTCGGTGTTCAAAGAAAATCGAGTATAAAAAGGACTAAGTTGGAGCATGTATTTATGTGATTTGGCTATAGTTATTGATTAAAGTATTATATTTATAACATGCCATGTTGATTTTGGCAGGTAAGAAAATCTTATGGTATTTGATGATGACATTTAAATTTTATGCATGAAATGATTGTTTATAATTTTTAAATTGCCTCACTAAGTATATACTTAGCGTGTGATGATTTTCACGCGCAGGTAAATGTTAGGAGTAGAAGTAAGGAGTACTGAGCAACATCAAGCATCGATGAGTATAATACAATATCAGTAAGACATCCTTTGATGTAATTCTGACTTATTTAGTGTAATGTACTTATAAATGTTGTAGTTGTTTTGTTAACTATTTTGGAAATAGTTGTAATGGCTAAACTAAATTGTTTTATTCTATTTCATCATGGATGATATTATTTAGTATTACTTTTATAAATGAACGTATTTGATATTTAAATATTATATAAAACATTATGTGATTTATTATTTTATATTTTCTATTATAATTGAAAAGAAAAAAAAATTCAAGCCACTTTTGAATTGGGAAATGTTTTAAGTAAATCATATGACATCTATAACCTGTATTGGTATAAGTATACAGATCGTAGGTGTTACATTAATTAGTACCATAGCTACAGGTTTAGCCGTTTCTGGACAGAAAATGAGTTTAAATATAGTTAGGAATGTATACATGCCACTAGGATGTCCAAGTTATACTAATGGTTGTATATATGCTTTGATGTTTATTATGTAGTAAAGTTACTCTTATTAATGTTAGATGATTTTGACTGTTGTTAGATGTCGGATCATCAAGAGTTAAGTAGGGCCGATGAGCGCGTTACTCCTGCACAGAGTGTGAGTAATGAGGTGAACCAAAATCAACCTCTTGCTCAGCCTAATGTAGAGCTGATTAATGTGAATCAACAAAACATGCATGTTCAAGATCGTGGGTTGTTTTTACAAGCTTTGGACAACATTATTAATCGTCAGACACCGTTATCGGTTCCTAAAGAATTGAGAAAGATGAAAGCACCTGAGTTTCGAGGCGTTGCAGATGGTGATCCGATGACTGCTGATTATTGGTTAAATGATGTTAAGAACATGCTGAACATGATGATCAGGGAAAATTAGAAGGAGTTGTGTCTCTGTTGATGGATCAAGCTAGTGTGTGGTGGAATATTGTTGCTTCATGAGTTTCTCCTGAGCAGATCACGTGGGACTTCTTTCTAAGTGAATTCAAGGAGAAATACATTGGAGATGTGTTTGTTAATGAAATGATGCAACAATTCCTGAATCTGAAGCAAGCTAGCAGGACAATTTATGGATATGAATGTGAGTTCCACCGGCAAAGTCTATTTGCATAAAAATTCATCCCGACTGAGAAAATTAGAATTGACAGATTTATTTTTGAGTTTGATCCTCAGTACAAAAGGATCCTGGTTTTTCATCATTTTACTGCTTTTCAAGAAGCTGTAAACAAGGCTAAAGCTATGGAGAAAGTTGATCTTGAAGATTTAGAGGTGAAAAAGGCTCAGTTAACAAAAAGGTTTGGAAGTTCCTACTCTGCACCATTTTCCAAATGTAACAAGGGCCAGCAACAGAAAAGTTATTTCTCCTAAGCATCTTCCCATAAAAAGGAATTTTCTGGAGGAAAGTCCAGGCAGACACAGACAACTTTAGCATATACTAAAGGTTCAGGATCTATTGTGGAAATAATCATTTTGGTCAGTGTCGGCTTATGGAAGGAAAATGCTATCATTGCAAGCAAGTTGGACATTATAAAAATAAATATCCAGAACTTTATCCAGACTAGTCTATAGCAGCACTGCAACGAGGTGGAGATAAAAAGGGTAGCAGACTAGAAACGTATGAGGTTGTATCTAATCACGAAGGCAGAAATACTGCTCGAATTTATCATATCAAGACTGATGATGATCGAGATGCTCCTTAGATTATAGCATGTACCTTTTACCTTTTTGATGAACATGTTGTGGTATTGATTGATCTCGGTTCTACTTATTCTTATATTAGTGCAAACCTGGTTAGAGATAGGGGAATCTCTTTAGAACCTATTTCTAGTGATATTGTGGCAATTAATTCGTTGGGCCATAGTGTGAGGATTAGTCGGATATGTAAAGATTGTCCGATAAAGATACAAGGAGTGGAATTTCCTGCAAATCTGTTGGAATTACCTTTCGAGGAATTTGGAATAATCTTAGGCATGGATTGGTTATCTTAATATTATGGTTGGTTAGATTGTCGTTTGAAGAGATTGTTCTTAAAGGATGTAAAGGGTTCAAAGATAATATTTGTTGGAGAAAGGGTGAATCCCTTATCCAATGTGATTTCATCCTTTACTGCTAGGAAATTGTTTTCATAAGGGTGTCAAGCAATTTTAGCAAATGTGGTGGATACAAGAACTACTAAAGTTAAGTTGGAAGACATTCCAACAGTTCGAGAATATTCAGAAGTGTTTCCAGATGAGTTACCTATTTTACCTCCAGATAGAGAGGTGGAGTTTGGTATTAATATATTTCCAGGTATCGCTCCTATTTTGATGGCTCCTTATCGAATGGCCCCGACATAATTAAGGGA